TTAATATAATTTAACCAAGTTTTACTTTTACTATTTAGACGTCTGTCTAAACTCTTGATTTCGTCCAGCAACCTTAATTGTGCCATTTCTACTTTAATAGTGGTTAAAGTATTTATGCATAAATATTTTTCCAATACTTTAATAATAGATGGAAAAAGATCTTCTCCTATTGATACTGAAACTGAACTAGTAGTTGAAGTTCGATATTCATAAAATCTTCCCTATTGAATTTCTGAAATAAGCCGCTCAGATAATTGATCAACAAGTTGACATAAAGTGAAATTACTTCTAATAGTTCTTTTAATAATTGCATTCATTCCTTCAACTCGAGAAGTACTTTCAATACCAGCTGTAAATATTTGCTTTAAATAACAACGTGCTTATGATTTATTTGTTGGCTATAATACTCTAAGAAGATAATCTTTGGCTAATAGAAATTTTTCTAGTAAATTAGTCTATTGTAAAAAGAATAAGGATTCATAAAGACTGTTTCGATATTTGTAAAACTCCTTAATAAAATTATCATACAAATTTCCTAATTTAGCTTTCAAATTTTTTGGCAAATTTTGGCTAATATGATATATGCAATATGCGTGATAACTGTTAGAAAATTGAAGTGGAACTGCAGCATCCATTGCTGAATCAGCATCTGTAAAAAATACTATTAGTTATTTTTCAGTTGCTTGAAATGCACACTCCAAAATCCACTGATAAGTTTCAAATGTTTCATTACTAATAATAGTTTGTGCAAGTAATCTTGTATGTTCATTATTATCTATTCCAACAAATAAACTTAATGGCATGTTATACATATTTGTTTTAGCTGTATTATCATTAATGATTACATCATGATACATAACTCAAAGAATAATTTGTTCGGGTGTAATCCAGAATACCCTTATAAGACGGTTATTAGTATCAAGTTCAAATTTAAGAAAAAAGTGAGGATCATTTTGCTTTTTTTGTATAAGATAATTAAGAAGATTTGACGCATCATTTTGCATATTATTATAGCTGATAATCTTGAATCTTTGTATAGCATTCAACAAATTTGAATCTGTATAGTTAGCATTTGAAAATCGAGCCTTTAAAAGATTACATTATACAGTAATTGAAAGATTACTATATTTAGTCATTATTTCAATTTCGTCCATCAACTCTTTTGATAATTCTCTATACTTGATTTTAAATTCATAGGTGTTTAACCTTAACTCATGATTATGTTCATTCACAAATAAACTAATAGTAATATTTGCAGAATGTTCTGGAAATATCAAGTTTAAATGCCAGAACATTGGCATTTTTTAGTTCTAGTATTTTGTTGGTTTTCAGTTGTTTTCTTTTTATTTGACTTGAATTTGCCGCCAAATTCACACATAAAAGTTCTTTTTGTAACTAATTAATTGGATTTATTTCTTGTCACTCAATACTTATTTATAGCAAATCTATTACAACGCTCATATTCCTCAAAAAATATTTCAGCTTCTTTCTAAGAAGCAAAGATAGTATTAAGACTAATATCCTCAGTTGCTATTTTAAAGGAGGTTTTATTATCCAAATTTTCTTCAGAAGTATTATTAACATATTCTTTATCTTTATTAGTAATAGGCGTAATAGACAAATCAGATTATTTTAAAGCATCCATAACGTGATAAAAAAAATTAAAATGGTAAGTAAAGAAAGATATTTTTAAGTTTTACGTGTGGAATAAAAGAGAAGAGAGCATGAGAATAAAAGAAAATGAAATGAATATATGTATTATTTACTGTGGGAATCAATTTGTTATATAAACTCATTATTACATCATAGATCAATCAATAAATACAATGCAATTTTATTAATCATCACCTAGTACAAATTTTATTTAAGAGTGATGCATGCTAAATATCATGTAATATATTTTAAATAATATATTATATGATTTATATATTAAGTAATAAATAAAATAATCACGTCTCATGATACATACATTTTTTCTTAAAATAATAATACATCAAATGATATATTTTTCTGATTATTTTTTTTTTTTTGATCACATTTAATTAAAATGATAATACATCAATATACTATATAAATTAATTAAAGTATTGAAACGAATTACTTTTCCTATTATTTTTTTTTGATTACATTAATTAAAATGATAATACATCTCGACATTTGAAATGATGTATTTTATTATTTTTTTTTTTGAACACTAATATACTAAACAAATTAATTAAAATATTATTGAAACAAATTTATTTTCCTATTAATTTTTTTTTGATCACATTAATTAAAATAATAATATATCTCAACAATTGAAATAATGTATTTTTATTATTTTTTTTTTTGATCACATTAAATTAAAATGAAACGAATTTATTTCCTATTATTTTTTTTTGATCATATTAATTAAATGATAATACATCAAAGGCATTTAAAATAATATATTTCTTATTATTATTTTTTTTTTGATCAAAAATGTTCCTTTTCCGGTATTATGAAACAAGTATGGTATCATACGATATCAAAAGGATATACTGTATGCATAACATATATGATCATACATACATATATAGCTCACCATACCATACTTGTTTTTCTTATTCTTTGGACTAATACATTTATTACCGATATAGAAATTTATTATTACCGATTAAATGATATATATCGTTCATATTAAACACAATTAAAGGCCAACTAATATATAATTACACAGGAACAATTTTTTTACGTATATAATTATGAAAACAAAAACCATGTTTTTAATCGCATGTACAAATGCGTTTCAAAATATTTCAAAATGATGATTTTGTAAAATATAAATATTAAATGGTTTGTTCTTCAAATTTTTCAAAACAAA